AAATAAAAAAAAAAAAAAGAAAAATTTTTTTTTTTTTTAAATTTTTTCAAAAAAAAAAAAAAAAAAAAAAAAAAAAAAAAAAAAAACAAGAAAGAATTAGTAAAGACGTCTAGTGAGAATTTTTATTTTATTTTGTGGTTTCTCCTTTTCTACCTGAAAACCATTTATTTTCCTAATGTTAAGGGAAGATGAGTTTTATTATCAACGAATCCGTCAGATTTTATCAGTACAGCTCATGTCAGCAGCAGGCATTTCAAAGAGCTTTACATCATAAAGACACAAAGTCCTGCAGCAGAGAACCAACAATCAAAACGTCACGTTAAGCCATTAAATTCATAATTGATCACGTTTCAAATAAACCAGCTGGTTTACAGTCTGGATTTAAAGGAGCTCAGTGTTTCTGCTGTTTCTCAGTTTTCTGGAAGTTTGTTCCAGATTTGTGGTGCATAGAAGCTGAATGCTGCTTCTCCTCGTTTGGTTCAGGTTCTGGTTCTGGATGCAGAGCAGAACCAGAACCTGAGGGTCTGGAAGGTTGATACAACAGCAGCAGATCTTTAATACTGTTCCATTGTTTCTAAACAAAAATGTTGATTGTGATAATAAAGTATTTTGTTGTTTGGCAATATTTTATTCCAGGTCTTTTAGATCCTTTGGATCTATGAAGATTAAATATGAAAAAGCATCGATATCAGTAACACGGGTCCTGCATGGCATCAGATCCAAAAGTCCCGACTCTGTACCTGCACACCTCCTGCATTCAGGTCTTTTTTCTCTTCAATGTTGTTTTTTCTGCTGCTACGTTTTGCTGATTAAATTTCCCATAATGCCTCTCACCAATGGCTGTCTGCACATTGGTTCTGTGTCTTCACCGCCAAACCTGATGGCAGAGGCGGCGCTAGCCTGCTTGGCGCCGTGGGCCAACAACCCCACCAATGTTTTACTCACAGTCAAACTCTTCAGGTGTCTCTGTTGTCAGAGGGTCTGGAGCCAAAACATCAAGAAGAACTGAAACAATAAAAAGGGAGATTTGTTTTTTAATTTAAGAGCAGCATGGAGCAATAAGCTCCAGAAACACCCAGAACATTAAATCAGGAGCGACACGCTGAGCTTCATTATTCAGTTTGTGGTCTGAGGGAAACTATCAGAGCTGCCTGACCTCCACCTTCAAATATCTTTATTTTTGTTCAACCAAACCTGAACAGAAATCAAATATTGTGAGGACATTTTATCCTGAATAAAAACAGATTCCAAATGAACTTTGAAGCTCAAAGTAACATCTTCATCTGGAGGTAACAGCTGCAGTCCTGCTGTGTCCAGCTCTGCCTTTCAGCCTGTGAATGTAAAGTTTACCTGGAGAGAGCGAGCTCAGCTGGAGGATGAAGAGGAACTGAAGCAGCTTCATCTTGGTGTCACAGCGAGGAGGTGATCCTCCACATGAACCTCTTCTTCTTCTTCTCAGACTGAACTCTGCATCGCAGCAGGAAGTGAAACATCAGAGGCTCCAACTCTCTTCTTCTGCTTTCAAAAACGGCTGAGCATGAAAAATAAAATCATTGGCATCATGAAGGAAACTTTACTGTGAATATCCAGGTTTAATAGCCATAAAGTCTCACCGTAAGAGCATAAAAATACCATAAAATAAAACCATTAAGCCTGGTCTGACTGTTTACCCAATTAAAAAATAACATTTACAGCTTGAGCGGTTAGAATCTAAAAATAAATTATTATTTTAACATATAATTAAACAGATACACAGTTTTAGTAAAATAATGCTTAAAACATGGACGTCCTAACATCTTACCCAAACCGTGTGCTGCTATAAACCGGGCTGCTACCAACACGAAACATTTCAGCTCCAACCTATCCTCGGTCTTTTGGTCGTTAAGCTGCCTTTGTGTTAACAGTTAAACCGGAAGTTTCCCCTTCACAATAAAAGCACAAACCATCAAACAGTTAAAACCAAAATGCAACAGGCACAAACGGATACCAGCTAATAAATCAATTAACTAATTTATGGTTATTTACAATTCCACCAGTTTTATGACTGATTGGTTTGTACAATAACAACAATAAATAAATTTAAGAAAAGTAATGCAGAGGTTCGGTTTCCTAGCAACTAAAGAAGTTTTGGTACAAGACCTACAACTGATAAGCTACTAGAGCATTAACCTTTGTTACCGTCTCTGTTCCCAAAGCTTTTCCTTTGACTTTCCTCTCCGGACGCCAGGGGGCGCCAGGTGGGCGGTGGATTTCAGGACCAGCAGGTTTTAGGTTTTAGCGGTTCAGCCGAGTCCAAAATTATGGAGGACCAAAACTGACATAATTAAAAATAAAAGCAGAAATCTATATTTTTTTCTTTTTCCTTACACATGCGTTTTCATCAGAAATGTATGTGGTATTTTTTTCCTTATACATGCATTTCTGCCAAAAAAAAATATATTTTCTTTTGTGGTTTTTTTTAAATATTTCAAATCAGGAAATATATATTTTGTTTAGTCTCTTCCTTATACAAGCTTTTGTTTTTTTGTCATCAATCAAATGTTTTTCTCTCTCATGATTTTAAAGCTTTTAGGAAAAATAAAAAGATTTTTTTTTTGTTCAGAGAGAAAACACACACACACACACACACACACACACACACACTCATGGATTTAAAACAATGAGACGCTGGCTGGCTGCTTTGTTTGAACACTTTATTTTATAAAACTGAACAGCTGCTGCGTGTTTTCAGAAGTAGAGTTTGGCCATGGCCTGCAGGAACCTCTTCTTCCTCTTCTGGGCCGCCAGCTGCAGAACCTCCTCCGGGTTGCTGCTGTTCAGCTCCGTCTGTCCGATGGCCTTCACCTGGACAGGTGGAGCACAGCACCATCACCCTCACATTTAAATCAGTCTGCCAGGGGAAAGTTAAAGCACGGCTAAAAGGTTCCCGTTGTCCAGGTTCAGAACAAATCAGGGAAAATGATCAGAAACTTGTTCTGGGGTTTCATCCTTAAAGCTAGCATACGCACAAAATGGCATCTGAAACTTTCCACTTATGTACTGATTTAAAACACAAAGTCGACATGAAAATGTGCGTCCAAGTCTGACGCACGCACACAGTCTGGTTTGTTTGGAAGCTAAAGGAAATGTTGACAGATGGAGGTGGGAGCTGAATCCACACCGTTTGATTCCCTCAGACATTTAGTTATCGGACTCCAACCAGAGGTTTAAAAACGCAGAGCGATACGAGCCTTCGCTGCTGAGCCTCAACATCATGAGAACAAAGAAGGTCCATAAGGCCGGAGTCCTAAACCAGTCAATGTTTAGACGGTTTCTCACGGTCGCCTCCCCAGCTTTATTTTATTACCACAGATTAAGAATAAATCCTGACAATGTGCAAACATCCCCAGTGATTAATCACCGACGAATGAACCCTGCCTGAAGGAACAACGTAACTCTGTGAAGGCATCTGTGTTTCTGGCCCATCGGAGGATCAGGACAGATCCTGGTGATATTTGGACCTCTACAACTTCTTCTTCTTCTGTTTTTATATTCGTGTGCAGTCATGGCGCTGCGTTGATCACATACTCTGGTTCTGTGTTGAAAAGCAGCAGATGCCGTAATAACTGTGGCCAGTAGGTGGCGTGTAGCTCAGACTGCAGGCCTCAGTCTGCTCCACGAACACAGAGGCAGATGGTAGCAGGTGACGCCACGGCGCCGCCGAGGCAGAAACCAGGCTGAGCTCTGAAGAGCCCGAACCCGGAACGACGCTCTGGAAACCCAACATGGAAACCTGGCGGTTAGGAACACCAGATGGGGATGAAGGCTGACTGCGGTTCATGCTAACCAACTGTGGCTTTGTGACATTTTAAATGTTTTTACGATGCAGGGCTGTTGGTCATGAAACAACACTGACCATCAGCTGGGCTGCGCAAACGAACGCCGAGGTTCCCAAGGTGCTTTGCATCGACCTTAATGGTGAAATGTGTGTGCAGAACCTGACCGAGCTCTGAGGTCCAGCTGTGATTCACAAAGGAAAACGGCTGCTGGTGTGCGTACGCTTGGTTTTAAAAATGAGTGAGTGATTCCGTGAGTGAAACTCCTGCAGCCGGAGGACTTACAGCGATCTGCCTCTTCTCCGTCTCGCCGCGTTTGTGGTGAATATCTGAACTCAGACTCAGGAGGAAAACCAGGTCAGGCGGAGGCTGCAGGGGAAGGTGTGGCTGTCAGCAGAAAGGATACGAGTCAGGTACTCCAGGATGGTGACGTCCCAGATGTAGTCGTAGAAGGAGTCCATGGCGTCGTGGCTGTGGAAACATCGGTTAGAGACGCCTCGGCAGGAACGATCGCATCCAGGTGAGCTTTACCTGTTCTGCTCCTGAAGAGCTTTGAACGCCGTCATGTAGTCGACCTCCCGGAGAAACTGGCACAGAACGGCAACCTGGGGATCAGAAGAACAGACGGAGTGAACTTTGACCCTGATCGCACCTGCAGGTGGAAGGCCGCTGTGACCTCTGACCTGTGTGTGGCAGTTCATCATGGAGCAGCACTTGATCATCCTCTTCAGAACCTGCAGAAGACAGCGGCGGGTCAGACAGGCTCTTCTTCCACCTGCCTGGTTTGGTTCTCACAGCTGCGCCCTCTACTGGCCAGCGCTGAACTGATCAGGTTTTCCCTTTAAGCACATCCTGATGTTCTCACAGGAAGAACGTCAACGGCTGCAATGATCCCCAACTGAGCGCGCTCCAAACTGCAGCAGGGATTTATTAGTGAGCCACCTAACAGATGGACTTCATGGTGACCAAAATGAAACCAACCCAGCCTTCATTCAGGATCTGTGACGTGTTCATGCAGGAAGGCCGGCTGCGTCTCCTGAACCACCGTGTCCAGGTGATCTGGACCTGGGACAACCCAGTGTGGTCCGGAGGAGAAGCCAACCCTCAGCATCACAGGTCCTCCACCCTACTAAACGTTTCCACAGTTTGTTTCAGAACCTGGAGCGTTTGTAGCAGAGTTTGAGTTGAACTTCCTCCCAGAAACCTGCCATGCAGCCAACTGAAGTGTTTTATCCGAACCCCGGGCCGACCCAGTAGAGGCCCGAGGGGCCCACCATAAAGAAGAGCCTGATTGTTCCCAAGTGTCAACCACATGGCCAATTGGCACACAGTAACAGCGACTGGCCGTGGGTTTCCCAAGGAGACGGTTTGCAAATGGCCGCCCTCTGCGATGTGTTCACACTGACCACGGCGTGACCAAATGGCCCAAAATGCTTCCACCCAAGGCCTTCTGCCCGACACCGGCATCAGCAGCTGCAACAACAGGCGTGACGTTTCACCTGGTCTGTGTAGACATCAGGAGGAACAGGTTTGGTGAAGAAGTCTGAGCACACAGCTCCAGCCTGCAGGTAAAAGCTGAGCGCCGCCGAGTACTGATTGGTCACTGCAAAGAGATCAAAACACAGATTCCTCTTAGTTGCAGGTGGCCGGCGCTGCAGGTGGCCGGCGCTGCAGGTTGCCGGCGCTGCAGGTGGCCGGCGCTGCAGGTGGCCGGCGCTGCAGGTGGCCGGCGCTGCAAAGTAGATGTCTGCCTGCGTGACGAGCCAGGCCTGGTTGTTGGGGTTCAGCGTCAGCGCGTAGGACACCAGCTCTTTGACCGTCACAGCCACCGCCTCCACGTCCACCGCCTGGATGCTGCTCAACACAAACACTCTGGTCACTGACAGCTGCACTGAGGAGACAGCAGGGGGCGCTGCAGCTTCATGCCCGCTGCAGAACCAGGAACTCACTTTGGAAGAGAGGATGGCCAGATGGAGAGATGCTCGGCTGTCACTTCGTTCACTATGTCGTCCTGAGGAGAAATGATTGAAACATAAACTGACCACCTTGAACTCAGCAGAAGGAGATCTGGCGGCAGGTTCAGAGACGCACCCGAACGATGCTGTGGAGTCTCACAAACAGCGAGATCAGAGTGGTAAGCACCAGCGGCTCCTGGGAGGAAGAGGACGGTCAGAACCCAGAGCTTCACACTGAAATGTTTCTGAAGGTCGTTACTCACTCTGAGTTTCTTTGTGAAGGTGATGAATTTACTCCTGGAAGGGAAACAGAGCAGAATGATGCGACAGACGGGTCCAAACGGCCGGGCAGTGCGGCCCGATGCCGACTCACCGCTGCAGGATGCCCAGAGACGATTCGCGCTGCTTGATCAGACCCAGGCGGCCGTCGCTGCTGCGCTTGTGCTGGACGGAGACGCTGCAGATCTGCACCACCACCTCCCACAGCTCCTTGGCAGTGCGCCGACTCTCTTTAGGACCTGGGAGCTCCTTGCAGGTGGAGGCCAGGAGCTGGCCCAGCTTCAGAACCAGAACCAGAGAACATCATGACACCTAGGCCTTCTTCAGCCGGAGGGAGCAGCAACACGTGGCGGTTTACCTTGATGTATGGGTTGTTCATGACCAGAGACGGAGGCACCTGCAGCGTCAGGTAGTCGTTCTCCCTCCAGTTCAGCATGAAGGCGACGCATTCCTCCCCGATCACCTGACGCAGGGGAACGTCTGCCAGAACCAGGAGAACCTTCAGGTCACCACCGCACTGACCCGGTCCTCAGTTTGCTCCTGTTCTGGTTCTGATCGGGATCTTTCATCTAGTTAAAACCTGAAACTCAAGCAGGTGGAGGGGGAAGAGTCTACAGGGGAGGAAACTAGAGGAGGAGCCAAAGGGGGAGGAGCTTAGAAAGGGAGAAGCCCAGAT